ATTTATCTGGTCTGAATTCTAAGTTATTTTCTGCCTGCAAGTCAACAAAATTATGTTTCCATTTTTTCTCCTACTTTCTTTACTTGGAATCACCAAATATTTAAATATATATAACAGCTATATATATATTTGTACTTACTGCCTATAGAGTTTTTAGTAGTAAAGACTAAATCTGTTTTCCAGGACTGCTTTTCTTTTCTTGTTATAATCTGACCTTGCTATCTTTTTTTAAATTTTTTATTTCTTTCTGTCCATATTTTCTTCCATATGACACAAGACTTCACAACCTCCTAGGAGTTAGCCTTCCTAGCAACATGGGACATGATCTAGGAATGAGCCTTCCTAGGAAAGGAAAGAAAGAAAAATATGTCCTCTGGACACCAAATTCACTATGCCAGAAGGAAGGTTAAGCTTGGGAATGGAGTTATCCAAAAGTTGCCTTCCTTTTATTTCCAAACAAATAGCTGTAATTTTGCATGCTACTACATCGTATGTAAAATGCAGATTTACTGAGTGAAAGACAAATGCACAATTGAATTATTTCTCTACTGCTTTTTTTTCCAATGTAAGATGTAGATTTGGTGAGCACTAATCAGAGGCTCACAAGAGTGTAACCACTTGCCTCATTGTGTACCTGTCCTCTTTTTCTTAATCATCAAATAATTTGTTCTTTACCCTTTAAATAGTGAAGCTCCCAAAATCCTCTTTGAAAAAAATTCAGGTCAAAGATCTTGCTGTGACTTGCATTTTTCTTTCTGGGGTGTGTCCTCAACCTTGCCCAATGAAACCTCTAATTGATATCTGCCTCAGTTATTTTTGGTTTACAGTAAGATCGATTACTTATTTGAGGCACATGAGTATTATTGCTGACTGAAGGACACCCCGCATCTCTCCTCCCCACTTCTTACTCTTACTTTCCTTCTTCCCTGCTTCTCCCCTTCTCTATATCCCCTATACAACCGAGCATTCCCCTGAGATTGTATACAGTCTGGGAAAAGTTTGAATTCTTGTCAACCCCACGAACCCACACTCTTCAGGTAGAAGCCCCGACATGGCAGCTATCTAGTCCCTTGAGCCTTGAGAAGCCAGAGGCCTCACACCTGGTCATTGGAGGGAATGCTAAGTAGAAAGAAATAAAAAGAGAAGGGGAGTTTCAAGCCTGATCTCGCTGTGGTGCAAGAGTAGTTGAGACTTGGCAGCTTCACCGATCCAGGGAGAAGCCTGATGCAGGGGTGGAGGCCACACCTACATTCCCTACTTAGGCAATGCTAAGAAGAAATGTGGGGTCAGAAGTTTCCATGGAGTTTCTGCCCAGTGGAGACGTGGGAGCAGGACCACAGACTCCAGACCCCAGAATCACATAGACATTGGCAGCTTGAAACTTCTCCCTGGAAAAGCCACAGGCATAGAAGTCCAACCTGTGAGAGCAGCCACACCGGGTGTGCCCAGCAAAGCCATGGGGACAGGGCTGCCTAAATACTTGAGAGCTGACCCTTGTACCAGGTGCCCAGGATGCGGGACGTAAAATAAACAGAAATTATTTGAAGCTCTAAAGTTTAATGTCTGCCTTGCTGGGATTCTGACTTCTGTAGGTCCTGTTTCCCCTGACCTGACCCACACCTTTTTCCTTTTTTTGTTAATTTTTCCCTTTTGGAAAAGGAATGTTTACCCACAACTGATTATATTGTTGTACTTTGAAAGTAAATAACTTGTTTTTGACTTCACAGGCTCAAAGCTGGCAGGAACCTTGAATCTGAGATGAACTTTTGTAGTTTGGAATTTTAAGTTGGTGCTGGACCAAGTTACAAGTTTTGGGAACTATTGGGATGAAATGGTTACATTTTGCATGTAAGAAGGTTGTGAGGTTCTTGGGCCAAGGGCATAACGCTGTAATTGGCATATTTGACCCTCCAAATCATATGCTGAATTCTCAATGTCACTGTTCACTGATGATATGATCATTTGAAACCCTAAGGACTCCTTCAGAAAGCTCCTAGAACTGATAAAATAATTTGGCAAAGTTTCTGTATACAAGATTGATGTAATCAGTAGCTCTTCTATATAGCAACAGCCACCAAGTGGAGAATCAAATCAATAATTTAACCCCTTTTACAATAACAAAAAAAAAGAGAAGAAAAAGAAAAAAAAGAAATAGGAATATACCTCACCAGGGACTCAAAAGAACCTCTACAAGGAAAACTACAAAAACTACTGAATGAAATCATAGATGACATGAACAAATGGAAACACATCTCCAGCTCATGGATGGGTAGAATCAATATTGTGAAAATGACCATACTGCCAAAAGCAATCTACAAATATAATACAATCACCATCAAAATACCACCATCATTCTGCATAGAATTAGAAAAAATGATTCTAAAATGTATATGGAACCAAAAAAGAGCCTGCATAGCCAAAGCAAGACTAAGCAAAAAGAATGAAGCTGGAGGCATCACACTACCTGATTTCAAACTATACTACAAGGCCATAGTCACCAAAATAGCATGGCGCTGTTTTGTTACAAAAATAGGCACATAGACCAGTGGAACAGAACAGAAAACCCAGAAATAAACCCAAATACAGCCAACTGCTCTTTGACAAAGCAAACCAAACATAAAGTGGGTAAAAAAGACACCTTTTTCAACAAATGGTTCTGGGATAACTGGTGAGTGACAGGTAGGAGAATGAGACTGGGTCCTCATCGCTCACCTTATAAAAAAGATCAACTCAAGATAAATTAAGGACTTAAACCTTAGACCTGAAACTACAAATGTTATCTAGAAGATAACATTGGAAAAACCCTTCTAGACATTGGCTTAGGCAAGGATTTCCTGAACAAGAGCCCAAAAGTAAATGCAATAAAAGCAAAGATAAGTAGCTGGGACCTAATTAAAGTAAAGAGCTTTTGCCAAACAAAAACAAAAACAAAAACAGCAGAGTAAACAGACAACACGTAGAGTGGTCATTATATTGAATAGTTTTCCATAACTATTCAAAAGTATCATATATAGAGTCACTAATTTCCTGGCCTTTCATGAATTGTGGAGTATGGTAATGTGGATCGTTTATGCATCTCCAGAAACAGTTCATATTGTAAACAGTACTTTCTGTATTATTGGAAATAGAGTCTTTAGTATATTCGAGTTTGATTAGGTTAGAGTGGTCATTCCATAAACCCCAAAATGAATTCAGAAAACTCAGTATAAATTCTGTTCCTTTAGAACTCCTTCTGCTGTCAAAATCAGTATGTTTACAATTCTCCAAAGAAATACAAATCTAAAATGTGTATATGTAGATATAGATATATATAACTAAATATTTATATCTAAATATATATCTAATATATGTTTATATTAGAATACATATTATATATTTGTATTATATTAGAATGTGTATTCTAGATATATAATAATATATGTGGTATATGTTAGATCCATATATATACACAAGTATATATGTGTGTGTGTGTCATCTCATAGGTAAATCTATGAAATCTTTCTATCTCTATAAATGTAGGAGCAGGAATACATTTGAGGGATTGCCTCATTTCAGTTTTGTTTTCTGAAAATTGCCACCACAAGCTGTAGTGCCATGAATGCCAGTGCCATGGCCTCTTCCAACTGTGAAGGCCTGAAATCAGGGGAGCCACCCAAGTATCCTCCAGTCTAAGACTGAAAGCCTGAGAAGCTGGGGGCCACTGGTGAAAGACCTAGAGTTCAAAGATCAGAAGGCCTGGAATTCTGATGTCCAGGGGTAGACAAAGATGGGTGTCCCAGCTTCAGAAGAGAGAGAGCAGGCTCACCTTTCCTCTGCTTGTTTATCAGAAGCCTCAGCCAAGAGAAGGGTTGTTTCCCACACTGAGTGAGGGAAAATGTTTTTCAGTTGGGTTCAAATGATTCTCCTGCCTCAGCCTCCTGAGTAGCTGGGATTACAGGCATGCACCGCCATGCATGGCTAATTTTTGTATTTTTGGTAGAGACAGAGTTTCATCATGTTGGCCAGCCTGGTCTTGACCTCTTGATATCAAGTGATCCACTCACCTCAGCCTTCCAAAGTGCTGGAGTTATAGGTCTGAGCCAACACATCTTGGCCCAATGATTATATTCAAATCTTCCTTCCAAAGGGAGACACAAGTAAAAATTATGGGATGTGAGGATTATTCACCAATTTACTGTAATTAGTTTCTAATTTTATGAATAATATTTAACAGAATCACAAATTATATAAAAGAGTTACCAGTTTTTTTGGAAGTTAACTTTTGATAGTTTCTTATAAAACTGGATGAAAGGCACAAATACTGTAAGGCACTGTTTGTTTGCATATTGTAAATAATGTCCAAAGACCAAACATTGTTAATAATTAATATTCCAATAAACATCATGTCAGGATTTCTGTGTTTTCGTTTTTCTTTGAGCCCTTGCCAGGATTACAACACCATCAGGACTGCATTTTCATTAGGAATGAATATTCCTTTTATAATGCAAAGAAAAAAAATATTTGCTGAAGAAATGGTAAAAGGGGAAATTTCTTTTGGCTCTAATGTTTAATTTTTTATTGAGTGTCACCTTTTAAAAAGTGCTCACTAGTCATTCCTTTAAATAGCATCTGTGTGAAGGAAAGATGTAAAATGGTTGACCATTTACATGACATAAAATAAAGATGTGGCATCATCGTGGCATGAACAAAAATGAGACTTGTTGCTAGAGGTGTTTTGTAGTTCAACATATGATCACTAATCATTCTATAAATATACTGGAGGTGTTTTTGAGATAGGTAGATAGACAGATGATAGATGATAGATATATAGATAGATAATAGCCAGATAGATTCTGGACGGAAAATTTTACTTCAGCAAGAAATTAATAATTTTACTCTGACTATGTAATAATGTCAGTAAGAATTCTCTTGGATAAAAAACAAGTGAACTGGATTCAGTTTTCTTCACAGCTTGTGTAATACACTATTGCTTGCTTCCTCCTGCATGCCGTTAACCCCAGACAGCGGGCCGTGAGGCATTGTCTGCCTGTTGTTTATATAACCTGTGAATATAAATGCCGGATGTTAACGAAGGAAACAGGATCTGCTTAGTGAAGGAAGGGATATAAAATGGATCCCAAATATCCGCGTGTGGAGCTAAATGATGGTCACTTTATGCCTGTACTGGGATTTGGCACCTACGCACCTCCAGAGGTAACATAATCACGTTTTCAGTGTTGCGCATTTAAAAGAGCAGAGCTAGGGTAAGCGGAAGATGACCTGGGTTTTGGCTTTGTGTCACTATGTTATTCTGCGTGACTCACCATGTCTGTATTACTAGGTCAGAGCTAGTCTCTGTTCGAAGAGAAAAGGTAGTCGACTTTTGTTCTGCACTGAGGTCTGGTCATACGGTCATGTACTGCCTGTTTTTATTTTATGCACTGTGTTTTTGTTCTGTTTATGGGCATCCCCAGCTTTGCAGAATATTTAAAACTCAATAGTGAAGAACACTGCCTGGCATTTCCTTTGGTAGGAGATTGACTGCAGTGGAATGGTTTATTTCTTTATTTCTATAATTGAAGAAATTCTTTAGTCTTCCAGGTAGACATGATCGAACAAAGTCTTTGTGGTAACAGTGCCTAAAGATGGGGTGCATGAAAACGGTTGGAGAGAGTATTGCTGAGCTGTCACGGTGCCTTGGGCATGACAGAGTAATAATTCTGGTCCCGGACTTAATACAATTTCCCACATACACTTCTCACCTCTAGGAAGATTATGTGGAAGAAAAAATAACTTTATTTTAAGAAAAAATGAAACTCACAAAAGAAATTTTGAATTTTTGGTCCAGTTAACATGCATCAGATTTGCATAAAAATGATAGGGGTGGTCCTCTGACATGAAAGCAGGCAAAATGGAGACTTTATTTTCTAGACTGAACTATTTCTCCACTGGAAGAAAACTTGTATTCCAAGGCTACTAAGTATGTGAATAGGGACTAGTCACATAAAATTTGTCTTACTTTTCTCAACTGTACATTGTAAGAATTTACAGAGAGACATCTTGAAGACCATCAACACTAGCAGTTTACTTTGTAATGCAATTGTCATGAAGAGGAAGTAAGGAAACCACAGCACTGAAGCTCCAGCCTTGGTAAACTTGAGTGCCTGCACAGCAAAGAGATCAGGGCTGGTATCAGAGGAAGGCAGTGAGACCTGACATCTGGTTCTTTTTAATATTACTGGAAATAGAGAGCTTCTGAAATACTCATATTAAAATAGAAAATTGTTCTATGTATGGCTTTGTTGTTTAAAAAAGATACCTTTCAAATCTTTATCCAAATTTGGTAGATAAGTCAGTAATTTTAAATTTCACTGAAATTATATCTTTCCTAAAAAAGTTGGCCTTATTTTTTAAGACTAAAGCATACTTTACTATTCCCTTACAGTTTGCAGTTAATTTCTTATGTATAAGTCTACATACTTGGAGTATGTGTCTTTACTCCTTGTGCTTAGTTCTGTCATGCACACAGAATGGCTAATGGCTGTGTAGAAAGAGTCAGCGCTATAGAGTGTCACCCATAGATGCAGGTGTTTTTAAAGTTGGAGCCTGGCTGGCATCTCAGAATTCCTCATCATTTCCTAACTAATAAGGGTGGTGTCTATAATTAACTACTCGTACAATGTGTGGGGTTTCTGCATATCTGCTTTCTTTACAAGACTGGAAGTTTGGTGTGTGCTGTACAGACTGGGTCAGTATAACCAGCACCCAGTTAAAATCTTGGGAATTGAGTCTCCAAATAGCATCCCTTGTAGACATTTCCCCTATGTTGTCAAAATGTGATGCTGGAGGAAGTCAGTGTGTTTTGTGCAGCATCACTGAGAGGCGAATCATAGAAACTCACACTATTCTTCCTGTAGTTCCTTCCGCATACCTCCTGTAGTTCCTTCCATGTGCCTTTTTTCATGTGTTAATTTTATCATATTAAAAATAATTAGGAGGCTTCTTGTGGCGACTCACACCTTGTAATCCCAGCACTTTGGGAGGCCGAGGCAGGTGGATCCCTGGAGTTCAGGAGTTTGAGCCTGGGCAACAGAGCAACACCCCATACCTACCCAAAATACAAAAAATTAACTGACATCATGGCGCCCGTCTGTGGTCCTAGCTATTTGGGAGACTGAGATGAGAGGATTGCTTCAGCCTGAGATGAAGGGCATGGGGGATTATGAGGGTGGGGGTGCAGGGTTTTCAGTGAGCCAAGATTGTGCCACTGTACTCCAACCTGGGTGACAGTGTGAGACTCTATCTCAAATAATAATAGTAGTAATAAGAATTATATTTATAACTATAATTTGAGTCTTATTAATTTGTGCAACTAATGACTGAATATGAGGTTGTTCTTAGGAAACTCTATGCAAATGATCAACCAGGAATTACCTGGGACTGAAAAGGCCCAGGATATCCAAACTTTATTACTAAGCAGGAAAGACTAAAGCAAATTGGGATGAGTTTATCACTCCATATATATAACTAACCGAAGATACAAGAATACTGTGATTTTTGTGAAGGTCATTGCTTGTGCCTGAACTACCTGTTGAGCCCATTAATCACCAAACACTACTTTTCACTGCTTTTCCAGGTTCCTAGGAATAGAGTTGTGGAGGTCACCAAATTAGCAATAGAAGCTGGTTTCCGCCATTTTGATTCTGCATACATTTACAATAATGAGGAGCAGGTTGGACTGGCTATCCGAAGCAAGATTGCAGACGGCAGTGTAAAGAGAGAAGACATATTCTATACTTCAAAGGTACTGTGCCTATGATGAGCTTGTATGCACATGCATTTAATGTGATTCCATGAAGATGACAATTCTGTAAGTGGATCTGTAGTTGTAGGTGAATTGTGTGTATTGGTTCCAGTTTATTCACACATATTCATATATTAAACTAAAATAAAAGGTGGCAAATGATGATGTCTTTCTCATCATTGTTGTGTTCAAATTTATTACTTGAAAATCACTTTACTTTTTTCAGCCTCAGCTCAGATCAGTATTTTTTTAATACATTAATTTTTTAATTTCAATGGCATTTTTGGTACAAGTGGATTTTGGTTACATGAATGAATATTATAGTGATGATTCTGAGATTTAAGTGAGCTGGTCAGATGATCAGTGGACACTGTACTCAATATGCAGGTGTTTTTCACTCACCTTACTCCCAACCTCCCCCAACACTGAGTCCTGAAAGATCATTATATCACCTGTATGTCTTTACATCCTCATAGCTTAGTTCCCACTTACAAGTGAGAACATATGGTATTTGGTTTTCTATTCCTGAATTACTTAGAATAATGGCCTTAAACTCCATCCAAGTTGCTACCAAAGACATTATTTCAAACCTTTTTACACATACACCATTCTATGATGTATATATAACACATTTTCATGATTCATGCATTGTTCAGTGGACACTTAGGTTGGTTTTATATTTTTGCAATTGTGAACTGCACTGCTGTACACATGTGTGTGTGTGTGTCTTTTTCATATAATGATTTCTTTTCTTTTTGGTAGATGCCAGTAGTGGGATGAATGGATCAAATGGTGCAGGTCTTGGCTCACTGCTACAACCTCTGCCTCCCAGGTTAAAGCTATTCTCCTGCCTCAGGATCCTGAATAGCTGCGATTATAGGCACATGCCACCAAGCGGGGCTAATTTTTGTATTTTTAGTAGAGACTGGGTTTTGCCATGTTGGCCAGGCTGGTCTTGAACTCCTGACCTCAAGTGATTTGCCCACCTTGGCCTCCCAAAGTGCTGGGATTACAGGTGTAAGCCACCTGTCCAGTCTGATCTTTCGTCTTTATCATCGTCTGATTGAGTTAATTCAAAACTCTTTGTCTCTGAGATCTGAAATTCTTTACTTGTTCTAGTCTATTGTTAAAACTTTCTGCATTTTGTGTTTCCCTAAGTGTGTCTTTCATTTCCAGAAGTTCTGATTAGTTTTTCTTTGTAATATCTCTCTGGAAAACTTTTCGTTTATATCCTGAATTGTGTTTTTTAAAAAAATTTTAAGTTGTTTTTCATCTTTCTGTGATATATCCTTGAGTAGCTTAATAATGAACCCTCTGAATTCATTATCTGGTATTTCAAATATTTTATCTTGGTTTAGATCCATTGCTGGGGAGCTAGTGTGATCTTTTGGAGGTGATTTGGGTGACCCCAGGGTTTTTGGGTGACAGAATATTGTTTTGTTATATTGCCGTGATTACTTTTCTGTTGCCTTCCCGTTTCGACAGACTATTTCTATTTTTTTCTTGAATTTATTTTTGATATCCCTGTTTTTCTTTAACTTCTTTTTTTCCTTTTAAGGATCTGACTTTAATGTTTACAGTTTATAATAGCCTAATTGGGTTCTTAGTGCTGTTAGGTGTGAAGACATATGAGTTTCTTGGTTATAGAGAGTCTTTGCATCATGGCTTCCTTAGATGCTGGTTGTATAGTCGGATGCTGGCCACATACTCAGTGTGTGGGCAAGTTCACTGTCTCTTACGGGGTTGGAATAGCAGCGGTATCTTGAAGCTTATCTCCTTCTGTTGTGTGCACTTTTTTATTTATTCAATTTTTCCCAGTATTTTATTTATTGAATTTGTTTTATTTATTGAGTATCCCCTACTTGGGGATACCACCCCAGGCCAGCTGAGGTGGATAGAAACCACTTGTAACTAAAGCATGTGGATAAATGCAGTATCAAATGTGGTTGGGGGAGCTCTCAACTGGATTTGCTATCTTATCAAGGTCAAGGGTGGAAACTACCTCAGCTGCCATGCCAGGCAGACAGGAAAGCTATGCACCTCCCAGCCTCACCCCTGTCGCAGTGTTCTGGATATTGAGATCAGATAGGTACCTCTTTTCATCTATAGAAATGCTGATGTTCCAAGTAGGGAAAAATTGTGAATCTCTCTAATGCAAGCCTGAACCTAGGGAGCACTCCTCTGTGAGGATGCAGTCATTCTAAAGTGCTCCAGGAAAGTTGTATATAGGTGTACCCACGCAGAGCTTCTTTAGGAGAAGCCCTGCTATGTCTGCATTGATGGGCAAGCGGGGAGAAAAGACCCCTTCTCCAACACTCTTCACCAGCATTAAAGCCACTTGACAGTTGTTAGTAGAGGTTTAGACTTTCCCTACTGAACCTAGCACTGAAAATGTGTCTCTGCTGAAAGAAACTTATCACCAGTGTAAAGATCTGGAACTCAAGTCCTGCTATCTGGATTTTTTTGTCTTAAGAGATGTTCTCTCCATGTGATGCTCTCCTCATTACACTAGGAGTAGAAGATCCTGCGAGCCAGACTACAGTGATTGATTGCTATTGCTCTTCTGGGTCTAGCCACCTAGTGGGGTTGCCCCACTGTGGGCTAGTGCTGGGGAATATTGGCAAGAGTCCCCATGATGTGACCTGTCTTCATGTTTCCCGGTAGTGGGTATCAGCACCAGCTCTCACGAGGGTGTCAGGGAAGTGACGTAGACTCTGAGATTCCTTGGTTGCAGATAGTCATTTTGTGCTGGCTTTCTCAAATGCTGGTTATAATAGTAGTGAATATGTCTCGTGGACAGACTCAGCATTTCTTGTTAGCCAGATAGTTGCAGGTAATGGGGACAACTGAGATTACAAACAAGTTTTCTCCTTCCTGGGTGCAGTGTTATTCTGCCTAGGGATGCTGTAATGGACTGTGTTGGTTGGCCTCCAGCCAAGAGATGGCACTTGCAGAAGAATACCTAAGCTGTGAGATTTGAGCTTGCCCTATGTTGCCCTAGGGAGGTATTTTGGCTTCTCAGGCGACGGGTGGGGTCATAGAGTTCCCAAAAGTTTATGTCCTTTGTGTTAAGCTACCAGGGTGGGTGGAGGGGCACAGTCAGGTCATGTCAGGGCTAGGCAGGTCTGCATTCTGACTCTCCTGGAGTGGAGCTAGCCGCAGCTGCTGTGAGGGCCAGGAGATGGTTCTCAGGCCACTGAGGTAATGTTCCAGACGGGAGTATAACTGCCTCTGCTTCACAGGAGCTTTCACAAAGGGAGTGGGGATAGCAGGTGGCAGTAAGCCTCATTGAGATCCCACACAGTTTGCAAGGCAGACCGCAGTTCCACAGTGCTCTGTTGCCCAGGCTGCGGGAGTGCAGATGCTAAGAGCACTGAACTAAGTTCCAGGCAGCCTGTGCTCAGAACTCAGAACTGCTCTGGACCAAAAGTTTTTCTGTGGAGATAGCAACTACAGCTAGTGCTCGACTTACGACCATGGCCGGGACCGTGGACCGGTCATAACACACTTTGGTCATAAGTTGAGTAGGCTATATGTACAGTTGAAATGGTGCACGCGGAGATGGTAGTGCTGCCGGAAGCTGGTCCGCACTGTCGTACGCCCAGCTGGGTAACGTTTGCGCTGCCAGATGCGGAGCAGTTGTGGCTAGCAATTGTGGTTGTAAAGTTGAATGGTTGTAAGTTGCATAGGTTGTAAGTCGATCAATACCTGTATGGCTTTGAAGCTATACCCCTCCCCATCCACCTGCAAGACTGAGCACCAGCCTTCTGCATTTGTATCTGCAGCACACTTCTTACTTGTCCCCAGGGTTCTAGCCAAAGGAGTTCATCCTCCCTCGGAATAATATCATGAAATTCAATTGGGAGCTTCTTTCAATCTGCAACCCCTGCCTGAACTAGTTGGCTGACTTCACTGAGGTCCCCTATGAGATAAAATAAGAAATGGCTTCCCTCAGTCCATGCTGGACGTTGGGAATGCCTTTGTGGCACTTGCCACTGCTGCTTCTTCTACTTTATTTCTTACCTCCCTAAATCAGTTCTGGGTCTGGGTAGGGTTAAGGCCTTCCCCATGGCCTGGATTTTCAGATTCCCTGGTGGCGAAGGATATTCCAGAGGCAGTTTCTCCCCTTCTCACACTCTGGGGTCTTTCAGTTTTTCATCTGTCTCCCAGTGTAGGCTGTAGTCTGCCACTTCTTTCAAAGGGTCTGTGAATTCTTTCAATTTTCCTATTAAGTTCCTGCATTGCTTCTTGGAAAAAGTTTGCAGCGTCAATTTCTACACACTATTCTGTCTTTCCAAGTGGGAGAGACATGCTAAGACTGCCTCCAATTCACAATCTTGGAAAAAAAACCCTCAGATCAGGATAATTTTACATAGACTATAGACCCATAGAGAACTATAATCATATGACAGTTTTTCTTTTGTCCTGGATGATGTTTGTCAATATCTTATTATTCTGAATCTCAACTGTCCTTTTCATCAATGTGTGTGTGCTGGGGGAGGGTACAGCATAAGACAGCCCTATAAGTATTAACAACATATAGCTAAAGTATTTTGAATGGTGTTCAGCAAATGTCATCATGTTAAATGTTACTCTCTTTAGTTTCTAAACAACAGGAATATTTATTATTATCCATTTGGTTCAAAGGATGAGAAAATTAGACTATTCAAGTGTTTTATAAATTCTATCAAACATAAGTCAGATAATGGGCATAATTATTACTTGATATAAATTTTTACCTATTGAAAATTTTAATTCCATTGTTCAGCAATTGTACTAACTGCATATGCAATAGACAGTAGCATTGGTCGTATCAAAAGAAAACACAACAGCAAAGCAAATATTTTTGGCTAGTGGTCATCAGTTTTCAAGCAGTGGAAAAATGTCTAAATATTAGGTGGAGCAAACTAATACAATTGGCTCATGTTTTTATTCAACACAAATCCTTTATTTTACTCTGCAGCTTTGGTGCACTTTCCATCGACCAGAGTTGGTCCAATCAGCCTTGGAAAGCTCACTGAAAAAACTTCAGTTGGATTATGTTGACTTCTATCTTATTCATTTCCCAGTGGCTCTCAAGGTAGGCAATTTGTGGGATCAAACTCCTTTCTCTTCTGTTGTCAGCATGACCATCCTTTACGATGACAGTTGAATGAAGCTTCTTCTTAGGAGGGTGTAGGTATTATTACATTGGAGCAGAATCCTAAGTATAATGCCTAACCCCGTTTTATTGAATAAATAGTGAAAACTTCCTTCTCTAACATATAGTGACAGCAGAAGACAGTACATCAACCTCAAAGCCTCTGCCTTAAAAACTCAAGAAAATAACAATAGCCACCTTCAAGGCTGTATCTTAATTGGGTTCCTGAGTCCATCTCTTAGGAAGTTCACAGATACAGAGATCCATGCAGCTGTGGTGTCCAAAAAGCTACTGCACAGGTAGTACACAGTGGGTTTCCATCATCTCTCCTCATTTTAAGCAGAAATAGATTTGGTGGAACTCACTCTGGGTGAGTCTTAAACTGGAACAGTCATTGGGACCTGAGAATCCTTGCCTTTTTCAGTGATGATTCCTTCACAGTGGAGTTTGCAGCTTTGCTTTGTCATGAATTTCTGTGTTGTGCATAACTTTTAGTTTAAATTTATAGAAAACAACTCAGCGTGATTTATTTAAAAGAGTTTATTGCATGATGCAATTGGGTAGTCACTGCCATGGCTACATGTAGAGATTTGACACAGCCTCTATAAATGTAGCCTTTTCTCCATCATTATCTATGCACTCCAAGAGGATTTCTGGATTTTTTTCCCAGCCTTTTTCATTGCTGTCAATGATAGCTTTGAAACAGCCAAAGGCTCATGGTGATTAACATAAGATAGCCTCTCTCAGTCTTACCACTTTCCTATTAATATCGAAAAGAACTTCCATTTGACCATGTTCAGTTTATAATCCTGCCCATCGACTATCAAGTTTTCAGGGGGTAAGAAGCTCTTATTGTGTCGCCTGGGTCTAAAGTACAGTTCTTTATTGCTGGATGTCAAGGGCTTTTCCGGTCAATGAGAAGCGTTTCCCCAGAGGAAATTATGAGAACAGACAAAAGTCATCTGTGAAACCCCATTAGATCCTGTAAAATGGTTATGTATTAATACATATAATAGAAGTAGGAGATTAAGGGAAGCCTGTCTCCTACAGACATTCCTTAAAATTCCATGTGTGAAACATTTTGCCCATATCATTTTCTAGAACATTGCAGCACCTATCTCATGGTGGAGTATTATCCTAAAATGTACCTGGGAGCATGCCTATGGCTGGAGAAGTTAAATTGTGACATAATTAAAATGACTATTTCTACTTCAGCCAGGTGAGGACCTAATGCCAAAAGATGAAAATGGAAAAGTAATATTCGACACAGTGGATCTCTGTGCCACATGGGAGGTGAGTGCTTGGAGGAGAGAGCACAGAAAAGGAAGACAAGAAGGGGTCAACCTGTTTCCCAGCTTCCATGTGTGAGAATGGAATATGCACCACTGGATCTAGAAACTAGGGAGCTTGACAAAGGAGGTTTTGCTGAGTGATAGGGAAGAACACATGACTGAAAAAGAATAGGGAGAAATGAAGGAGATCAACTGGGGACAAGGAAGATGGGTATTCCCCATCCTCCATGTGCATTTATCTCTCCAGTTTCCTAAAGAGGACACAGAAATTCTTCCTCTTGCTGTCACCATCCTTTTCTGTTATCTGTTGTAAATTTTCTCCTGAGAATCAGTGCAATTTTCATTGTCATCTCTTAACAGTTGTTAACAGTTCTGTCTTGCATTTATCATAATCTGCAGCCATGTGCACAAATAATTTCTCACAACTGCTTTCTCCCCAGGCCATGGAGAAGTGTAAGGAGGCAGGATTGGCCAAGTCCATCGGGGTGTCCAACTTCAACCGCAGGCAGCTGGAGATGATCCTCAACAAGCCAGGGCTCAAGTACAAGCCCGTCTGCAACCAGGTGGGCGCCCTCAGCCTCTTCTTTCTCTTCTCAATGCCCATCTTCCTGTCCTGCTGCCTGGCTTCCATTTGTGCTGTTTTACTTACCTTTGTGAAACGGAAGATTCTAGAAAGCAAAGCCTCTGTGTAGAAGAACATGGAAGACCCTTAATTGTGCCTCTCCTTGGAGAAGGCTTAGTGAAAAAGGTACAAAGAACTTCATGCTGAATTGTGTGTAACATTTTGGGATATAAATTTTATCAGGGAGGACTGAAATAGAACACAGAGAGAAGGTGGACTTGTCTCTAAGCTCTGAAACACCACCAGATAGTGGCTACATAAAGATGATTTCGAGCAAAATGTGTATAATTATAGAGGCCATGAAAACATCAAATAAGCAGTAAATAAGGAGTGTGAGAATAAGAGAAGATAGGGTTTAAATGGGGTTTAGATGTTTGAATGCCTTTTCTTGGTATCTCTGCTTTCACAGTTATTGAACAAGTACAAAAAATTAACTGGAAACAATGAAAGTCATCTAAGTTAAGAGGAAGTCCCCTGTTTATGAGAGCTCCTTGGAGAGAGAAGCTGAAAGGACACGGGGTGCCACCCCCACCCCTGACTCATATAGAAAAGCCTGTCAATGTTGCCTCATTTAGGCTCAGACTCCAATATGGAGTCTTACAGCGGAATCACCTAGGAAGAGAAGTTCTAAAGCACAAAGACAGGAAGTATTTCAATTTGGAACACATTTGCAGCTGGAAATGGGGAATGGGCTATCAGCCTAAACTACTGTCCTGTTCAGCCTGTGTTCATTTCAGTCCTTCTACGTTGTTATTTGGTGTTTGGACCACTCTGATAAAACAGCTGTCTTATTCAGACTGCTCTTCAATACATTTGTAAATACAATACCTACCAAAGGCTTTACCACTGAGAAAATGAAGATAACCTTGGAAGATTCTAAGACAGTCACTTTTCACTCCTGGAATGTACGTGGTCAGGAGAAATGAGTGACGCTGTAGAAGTCACATACCAGATGCACAGATGGCTTTGTGTTTGCTGTGGACTCTGTTGATGATGAAAGCAGGGGAAAATCCAAAACTGAGCTTTATGAAATAAGTAGGATATAAGAAAATCAAGATGTCTCTGTACGTATGGGCGCTAAGAAACTAGACTTGAGGAACTTGTCTCTCTCAGAAATTGAGAAATTGTTAGCAACTGTTGAACTGAGCTCATCAATTCCTTGGCATTTGCAGTCTATCTGTGCAATCATAGGACATGAAATAAAGGAAGGACTTGGTAAACTCCATGATATGATATTTAAAAGAAGAAAACTGTTGCAGTAATAGAAAAAGAAAATACGCATATTAATGCCTTATATATAAATGTGGAATAGATTTTCTCTGATTTGATTTTGATAAATGGAACTATGGCCTGGTTTTCCTGTATGCCTTCCTGGGTGCTACTAAAGCTTTGTCTCGTTGAAGAATCAGATGCTTAACTGTGTGGCTTTGTGGAAGATGCGTAAATGCAATGATGCTTGAAGTCATCTCTTCTGCCTAGCCCACAAATATTTTGTAGTATTATTTTGGAAAGTCAAGCAAGTATAGGAAATTGACCAGAACACAACTGTGGAAATTTGATGCCAAGTTTGTGAAATAAAACTTTAAATAGTGGCAAAAAGGAAGTTACCTGTTTATGGAGATAACTAGTTATGATGGATAAAATCAACACTGAGGAAAATTTAGCAGAACATTGAGCTCACCCTGTGATGGCCCACGTCTTATTCTGATGCTCCTCTTTGCCTTCTGTCATCAAATCAACTGCTTAATCACAATCTCTTCTGTGTAAAGTTCTGTTTTCTAACTTACATTTTTACAGCTTAGAGTCAATGAGTACAGGTCTAGAGTTGAAATATGAAGTACTTAAAATTTATGTATTTGGTAACATAACAATACAAAATCATGATTTTTAATTAAAAAGTTAAGAAATTAATGTGGGCTTAATATTAACTTTATTTTTATTATGATAATTTTCAAATTTGTGAAAAATTTGAAGCGATAATACAGGACATCTACGTTACCATCTATATCCAAAATTGTTGACACTTTGCCAACCTGACAAATATATAGGCATATATATGTGAGTATATATGCCTGCATGGAGTGTTTATTGAGTTTCTTCAAAGTAAATTGTAATGATCACAATTCACCTCTATAGACCTTTCAAAGCTGGCATAGGAATGAAGATATTCTCCCAGTAACAGTGCAGTTATTATTTCTAAGGAAGTAACAACAATACCCTTAGATCGTTTAATACCCCATATGTATTGAGATATCCTATTGTTTTCTTGAAAGGTCTTTTAGAGCTCTTATTTTTAACCATAACAGCAGATGAAAAAATTTAAGAGTACCATATAATATAAAAAGATACTAAATACAGAAATTATACCTAATAAAAGATGTGTACAACCTCTACAGAGAAAATTATAAAACAATGAGAGATGTTAAATAAATGGTAAATAAATGTAAGGTGTGTCATGAAAACCAAAAAAACCCCAAATCCAATTGGGACTTTCATCTTGTATTTTGACCAGTTAACTTGTTTTTTCAAGTTTTCAGAAAGTAAGTTTCTGTAAATTAGAAGTTACACTTGAATGCGTTATATCATTCATGTTAAACATTTTTGGTGATAAACTGTCTCTACCTTGCCGTATCCATGAAATTACAGTAGACAGCATGAAATAACAGATTGCTACACAATTAGTGAAGTTAATTTTGATCACTTGGTTAAGTTAATGGTAGCCAGATCTAATCTTCCTAGAGATGTGTTTTCCCCTTCGCATTTCCTGGTAATCTGCCTGGTGATAATTATCAAGAGGGGAGGGTATATTCCACAAGAAATTTCCACATAATGATTGAGTGTGTATCAATGATGTTTTAAGTTTTTGTATTGTATCATTATTTTATTATTGTATTTGCTCTTTCTTTGGGGCTTTAAAGCAGTTACTTTCAATTTTAACTACCAGGTTTTATTATTCTGACTTTACATTTTATTATGAAAAAAATCACTCACCAAGTCAAGAAAGGAAACAATTATTCCTCTCAGACATGCTAAAAGCTTAACTATTTCCCTTTAATTATTCATGTCCTAGAAAGAAATTACTGCAAAAATCACCATAAGTGGAGACAAATATTTTTGCTGTCTGTCTTCACCACTCATCACTATGAACCCATGAATTATTTTTGCTATAATTTATGATTGATTTTACTCATTATTGTTTTTGATGTTCAAATCTATATAAACATTACCAGTGAGATTCCTATAAAACTACTTCTTTTGTCTTTTAACCCTGCCCTCATGAGTCTTTGAAGAAATTCTTATTTTCTGGCACAATTTGATGTCTAAAGCTCAGAATCCTACCCTATAGCAGATCTGGAATTGGCCATGTGCACTTCTAGTGGTCAAATGTAGTTAGATACCGGATCTGGTTTATGGAGTTACTTGTGCTCAGAAATGACATTTCTATTTATACTTTTAGGAAACAGCAATATAAAATTTATTGTGATGAAAAAGGTCATTACTTAACAGTAATATTCTCAGTTCATCTTTGATGTTACATGCTATTTATTCACCTTCTTTAACTTCTAATTTTTTTTTTTTTTTTTTTTTTTGAGACGGAGTTTCGCTCTTGTTACCCAGGCTGGAGTGCAATGGCGCGATCTCGGCTCACCGCAACCTCCGCCTCCTGGGTTCAGGCAATTCTCCTGCCTCAGCCTCCTGAGTAGCTGGGATTACAGGCACGTGCCACCATGCCCAGCTGATTTTTTGCATTTTTAGTAGAGACGGGGTTTCACCATGTTGACCAGGATGGTCTCGATCTCTTGACCTTGTGATCCACCCGCCTCGGCCTCCCAAAGTGCTGGGATTACAGGCTTGAGCCACCGCGCCCGGCCTAACTTCTAATCTTTTTTATATTAACATAGCTGTTTCATATTATCTGATGTTTTCCTATCTTGATCATTTGCAGGTGGAATGTCATCCTTATCTCAACCAGAGCAAACTGCTGGATTTCTGCAAGTCGAAAGACATTGTTCTGGTTGCCCATAGTGCTCTGGGAACCCAAAGACATGAAATATGGTAATAAAAGCAACAGGAAGTTTACCTGAAACACCATTTTGATGGAATATTTTAATTATATGATACTCTGTTTCCTGGAATTCACTCTCAGTGAGTCAGGGTAAGGGGAGAATTTGCATTTCTGACGAGATCCCAGGTGAGGCTGCTACTGTTGTTCAGGGACCTCACTTGAGGTCCGGTGTAAAATGAACACGTTAGTCTGTTTAGGGAGCCTCCTACCAAACTGAATCCAGCCTCAGGACTTCAGCATTTCTGGCTTTCCTTCCAGGGTGGATCAGAACTCCCCAGTTCTTTTGGAGGACCCAGTTCTTTGTGCCTTGGCAAAAAAGCACAAGCGATCCCCAGCCCTGATTGCCCTGCGCTACCAGCTGCAGCGTGGGGTTGTGGTCCTGGCCAAGAGCTACAATGAGCAGCGGATCAGAGAGAACATGCAGGTGAGGAGTGGGGCTGTTGGCATCAGGGCTCCTGCATGGTGTCCTTCACACATGTGCTTCTTGTAAGGCTCTCAGGACATCCTTGGACTAAGTCCATTTTCCAGGCATTTCCTATGCAGAAATGCTTTGTGTGCATCGTAAGGGTTTTCTACTCCACCACAGGAGAGGCAGCATGGCTGGAGAAATCAGGATACAACCAAAACCAGAGATTTGGGTTTCAGCATTAAGTTGGAAGTTTATTCTGCATCCCTGTGCTAGGGATATTTGCTTTTCTTCATTTTCTGAAATGAGGAGTTGAGTTAGGTGTTCTCTAGTCTCCAAATCATTGCAGATGCTTTTTTTTTCTCATGTCCTTATTTACTCAGTATAAATTTCATATATGCATTCTCTTAGAGTTTCCTTTGTAGCAGTGCCTGTTGACATCTTTGGGTATTTTTATTAGGTTGCTTGTCTTTTTCTATGTGTAGAAGACCACAATTATACTAATAAGTAGAGTTAGAAAAGAAAATCCCCTCAACATAGAGGTTTAATACAAAAGCACAGATTTAGCTAACAATTCTATGATTTGAAATTTAGCCTAAGTTCTGCCTAAACTCAGTCCGGTCCTTTTGTTCCTGGTTGAGCTCTCGTGTGTGTGCAGGGCAGTGAGGCAGTTTTGCTTCAGGGTGTCCATGGGGCATCTGTCTGGGCACCTCCCTCTCCTCCATGCAGTTCTTCATCCTCCAGTGATCCTGACCAGGCTTCACCTCAGCACAAGGCAGTGAGTGGACACATGCAAAGCCTTTCCAGGTCTAGGCTCAGAGTTGCCACACCATTTCTTCTGGAAAATTATATCAGCTAATACGAGTTATAGGACAGACCAGACTCAAGGGATTGGGAAACAGACACCACTTTTTATTAGGAGATGCTTAAAGTTCATATAATCAAGTAAGTGGATTCAGGGACATGGGAAGTATTGGAGGGCATCTATCTAACTAATCTACCAAATATTTTATGATTATATATATATATATATATATCTCCTGGATATTAATTCTTTAGAGATTTTGATGTATTGTTGAAATTACAACTCCCAAAATATACCTGAGTATTGATTCTTTTCATGTTTTTTCTTAACAAAATAAGTTTCTTAACTACTCTTAATGTAGTCAAATTCTTCATGCCTTTTTCTTACAGTTGATAAATATGATGTATTTTTCTATATTTAAAACATGATATTTTACTATATAATTATATAGTAAAATAGTATATATTACATATTAATATATAGTAAAATAATATACTATATTCTTTTAATATCTTATAAAATGATATATTTTCCTTATAAATTGAAATATTCAAATGGAATTGATTTTTTAATATTACACAAAATAAGAATGCAAATTTGCATATACATAACTTTTAATTGATAATAAAATGTCTTACTAACAATTATTGAAAAGTCCATATTTGCTCACATATCTTGATTATTCATCCTGTCATAAATAATGTCTGTAAGCACTTCTCTGGCATTCCTCCTCTTTTGAAGTGAGTTATTAACATTTCTGTATTGTCTAAATTATGTTGAATAGAAAGTTTTGCCACCAGAATGGCACAAGTATTTTTCTGACATATTCTCTTATATAAGAATGTCTTGGCTAGTCTTGAATGCGTGTTCTGTCATATAACATTCAGTATTATCAACTTCAACAAAAATGTTAATATTTTGGTCTTTGGCTGCAATTGCTATGAAACTTCAGATCGATTTGGCAAGAACTGAGTTATTAACAATATTGCAATTTCTAATTAATGATTATTATAAGAATAATCATTTATTTAAGTGATATTTTAATATACACTTCAATTAGTTACATACATTACTTTAGTAAGGCCTTTGTGTATGCTTTCCTAGATTCATTCATAGATAACTTATTTTTAATAGCCTTTGGATAATTTTTTCCTTTAAGAATTTTCTAATTTATGAAAATGTCCTAAGAATAATCACAATAAATGCCTCTTCCCTAGATTCATCAATTGTTAAATTGATGATGTTTTTATTCTCTCTCTACCTCTCATTCTCTGTATTGTTATTTCAGAGTATTCCAATACATTTATTAAGTTATTTAGTGTTATATGTTAACAATTAGTGTCATCTTTTTGATATTTAAATTATCTCCGAGTAGTGAGATCCTCTTCAAGCAAGTAGTTGTGTTCTTTAAACATGACATTATTAGTATTTGGACAATTACTGTATTGAATTTTTGGAAAACTATTTTTTTTTACATTGTACTTGTCCATTGAAGATGGAGATGGAAATACAGATGAATATATTTGGATTTCAGTATTTTGATATCTGATGTGAAACTGCACAACACTGCAGAGAAGGAGAAGCTCTCAACAGAAACTGAAGATGGAAAGAAGTTGACCTTGTGTGCACATAACTGGTTCATGTACTTAGAAGATTCAGAAGAATCTGGAGGGAAATTTGAAACTTATAATTTTTTTCTAATTTATTTTATTTATTTATTTTTTTGAGACAGAGTCTCACTCTGTCACCCAGGCTGGAATGCAATGGCATGCTCTCAGCTCACTGCAATCTCCACTTCCTGAGTTCAAGTAACTCTCCTGTCTTAGCCTCCCGAGTAGCTGGGACTACAGGCGTGTGCCACCATGCTCAGCTAATATTTTTTTCTTAGTAGAGATGGGGTTTCACTGTGTTAGCCAGGGTGGTCTCGATCTCCTGACCTCATGATCCTCCTGCCTCGGCCTCCCAAAGTGCTGGGATTACAGGTGTGAGCCACCATGCCCGGCTCTGTTTAAAATTTAAAACAGTTTGAATTTAAATTTAAACTGTTTAAAAAGTTTGATGGTGATACAGTTTAGATATTTGTCCCCTCCTAATCTCACGTTGAAATGGGATCCTCGGTGATGAAAGTGAGGCCTGGTGGGAGCTGTTTGTGTGACGTGGACGGATACAGAAATACAGAGTCCAACAATATTCCTCTGCGTTAGTCTGTTTTGTGCTGCTGTAAAGGGACACTTCATACTGGGTAGTTTATACACGAAAGAGGTATCTTTGGCTCACAATTTGCAGGCTGTACAAAAAGCTTAGCACCAGCATCTCATTCTGGAGAGGTTTCAGGAAGCTTTAACTTCCAATTTAAGTCATTCCTTGCTCCCATATCTGATCACAGGCCACACTACTTCTTGAATGCTTTGCTGCTTAGAAATTTCTCCCACCAGATACCCTAAGTTATCACTCTTAAGTTCAGACTTCCTCAGTGTTTTCAGACATGAACACAATGCAGCCAAGTTCTTTCCTAAGGGTAACCTTTGTTCCAGTTTCTAGTAAGTTTCTTATTTTGATCTAAGACCTTGTTAGCTTAGACTTAATGGTCCATATTTTTAGCAGCATTGTGGTCACAATCACTTAGCCAATGCCTAACAAGTCCCAACCTATTCCTTATCTTCGCATGTCTTTTTCTGAGCCCTCCAGACGCTTCCAAACTGTGCTCTTTACTTAGTTCTAAAGCCACTGTCACATTTTCAGGGATTTTTTGTTTTGTTTTGTTTTTTTACCAGTGTCCCACTCCGGGTAACAATTTTCTGTATTGGTCCATTTTGAATTGCTATAAAGAAATACCTGAGCCTGAATAAAATATACAGAAAGAAGGTTCACTTGGCTTACCATTTTCCAGACTGCATAAAAAACATGGCACCTGCATTTGGTTCTGGTGAGGCCTCCGGAAGCATTTGCTCAGGGTAGACGGTGACAGAGGAGCAAGCACATCAAGTAGCAAGAGTGGGAGCAAGAGAGAAAAAGAAGAGAGACATGTCAGGCTCTTTTATACCAGATTTCATGTAAACTGGTACAGTGAACCCTCAGTCATGACCATGGTTAGGCTGCCCAGCCATTCATGAGGGATGTCCCCATGACATAAACACCTCCTACCACACCCACTTCCATCACTGGGGATCATGTTTCAATATGAGATTAGGAGGGGACAAATACACAAATTGTATCACCGTCAAACTGTCTAAATTATAAGTTTCAAAATTTCCCTCTAGATTCTTCTGAATCTTCCTAAATACATGAACCAATCACATGCAACACAAGGTCAACTTCATTTCATCTCTAGTTTCTGTTGAGATCTTCTCTTTCTCTGCAGCGTTGTACAGTTTTAATGTATAATACCTAGAAATAGATTTATGTTTATTGTTTACCTGATATTCTTTAATCACTTGAGAGTTTAGAATGCCTTTTATAACTTTTGGAAACGTAACAAATATTTTAAGTATTGCCTTTCCACCCTACTGTCTGATATACCTGGCTATTTCAAATTGACAATTGTGCAATCTAACAACAATAAAAGTTTTCTGCTTCTTTGATAGGTTTCTGAATTCCAGTTGTCTTCAGCAGATATGAAAGTTCTAGATGGCTTAAACAGAAATTTTCGATATGTTACCTTAGATTAGTAAGTAACTTTGGTAAATGGGTTGGCTAATTCATTTTTGGAAGAGAAATGTCAGATGGCTTTTAAATGTTACCTCAATATTATCAAGACAGAGGCCAGTATGCGTGAAGGGTGAGACAGGAGCTTTCTGAAATTCTTCTCCCGGATTCACTCCAGAGCTCTGTTTTCTGACAGGGTGAGTGGGCCCAGGGTCAGCATGGGTCAACCTATGCCTCTGCTCTCTTGAATTCATGAAGCTTTCCAGAGCAGCCAATATTATTGCTGAGTCTGTGCCTTTTATGTAGGACTGACATTTTGCTATGGCCTAGTGGACAAACTGTGGATATTGCCCATGTGGCCTGATTAGATCTTCTTCCAAATCAGCTCAGTTCTTTATCAGATAAAAACATTTCAATCAATCTTGAGATTCATGCCAGAAATTCTCATGTCTTCCATATGGATTTGCTCACAAGATCATGTCAATACAAAATCTTTAATCATTTCAAATCTCTTTCTCTCTTCTCTTTAGACATTTGCTCATGACCCAAAAACTGTATTTTGCCTCCAGAAAGTTTGCCCTTGGTGGGCAATAGAACTCTTGGCTTTGAGTTTTTGCAATATGGAAATCTCAATGCAAAGTATAAAGAACTTTTAGGGAAGAGAGATTAAAAATCAAGGGAAGAGTTGGAGACTAAAGCTCCATTTTGGAGATAATGTATAGTTGACAAAAGATCTTACTCTTTCTACATGCTCCAAGCTTCTAGGATTCACAGAAAGGCAATTCATGTGATAAGGACAAAACAAGTCATGTCACTGCTTGCATTGGAGATATTAACAGGTAATAGACATGATGAAAGAATGTATTAAAAAGCATAAGCACAGCAGCACATCATAAGAACTCAAACATTTTTAGATATATCATTGTTTATATTTTTATTAGTTTAGAGAAAAATAAAAATGAAATAAGAAATCATGAAAAGGAAAGGAAGAGGAGTAAACATAGGTAATTATCATCATCAATTAATTATGTAACATTAACAATTGGTTTATTCATCATCTTTCATCACTGTATTTTGTGTGATTTCCACTTGAAGATTGTCCTTAGCATATTGTAGAATTTAGGATATGGACCCCCATAGCATATATGACAATTTACATATCTGAATCAAAGAAAATATTTTCCATATGGTAAGCAGCCAATCAGTAAAGAATGAATCTTTTATTCTGTAGCATAATGTAAGAGGCAAACAACAACAAAAAAAGAATACATCTTTTAAAAGGATGTGTGATTGCCACCAATCACATTTAACAGTCAAACTTCTTAATAAGGATGAACATATAGCTGGCTTGCTTTTATTCAGAATAACACAGAATGAGTTCCTGTTTTCGTTGATAATTTGAAATAGAAATAACATTTAATACTCAAAATTTTTTATAGGATGAACATATATCTGGCTTGCTTCTATTCACAATAATGCAGAATGAGTTCCTGTTTTCATTGAGAATTTGAAATAGAAAAGGTCAGAATACCTCTTTGCTCTGTTGACAGATATGGAGGAATATGTTTGAACAATTGACCCTGTGTAGTTTATGTGACAAATTCCAGGAAAGAGAATATAATTTGAATAATCTATTATTTTGGAAAAAACTCATAAAGTTATGTTTATAAAAGTAAGAAGATTCTATAACTAGTCAGAAAATAAACTTCTTTACGTTCACACTAAATGAGTTTCACAGAAATCACTTCACTACCACTGTAGTAATAGAGTTCATTTCATATTATGTACTATTTTTTCTCTTTTCAGTCTTGCAGGCCACCCTAATTATCCATTTTCAGGTGAATATTAACATGGAGGGCTTTGCATGACATCTAGCAGAAGGCTGCCTGTGGATGGTGATGCAGAGAACGTCTCTATGCTGGTGACTGGACATACCACCTCTGTCTAAATCCATCCTGCTTAGCAACTTCAGTTAGCTAGAAGATATAAATCCATAGACCAGAAAGTAAAGACAATAAATTTCTATCATCTTCAAATAATTGAATGTTTTTCCTAAAGATTTTTTTCCTACTCCTTTCTCTGTTACTTGTATGTTTCTTTTCCTTTTGGTTCATGAGGGCCAAAAAATGCAATTTGCCTGTAAGTTTGGTGCAGGGAGTGTATGATGATAACGACCATTGTATAGACATTTCTGAGGTGAGAGTGGGTGGAGTTTTCCTCCCCAGGTTCCTAGAGTTCTGATTCTTGTGATGCTGGAAGGTCATCCTGTCAATATGGCTCACCTTCCAGATTCTATGCTGTTTGTTTTCTCCTTTCTAAAAGAGCTAAACACAGACTAGCTGATAAATACCTGTCACTTGCTCCTCCTCTAGATGTAGAAAATAAAATTTCAGGCCAATATCCCTGATGAATATAGACCAAGACATCCTCAATAAAATACCAGCAAATTTGAATCCAGCAGCACAACAAAAAGGTCATCCACCATGACAAAGTAGGCTTTATTCCCAGGATGCAAGTTTAGTTCAATATACATAAATCATTAAATGTGATTCATCACATATACAGAACTAAAAACAAAACCCCAGTGGTTATCTCAGTAGATGCAGAAAAGCCTTACAATAAAATTCAACATCTCTCTATATTAAACACCATCAACAAACAAAGCATCGCAGGAACATGCCTCAACAAAATAAGAGCCATCTATGACAAACCCACAGCCAACATCACAATGAATTGGTAAAAACTAGAAGCATTCCTCATAAGAACCAGAACAAGACAAGGAAGTCTACTCTCGCCATGCCTATGATACGGAAAATCTTAGCCAGAGCAAGCCTGCAAGAGAAAAAAACAAAAGGCATCCATGTGGGAAGAGAGGAAGGAAGGCAAGCCATCTGTATTAACAGATGATAGATATGATTCTATACCAAGAAAATCCATCTCTGCCCAAAGTTTCTGAAACTGATAAACAACTTTCATATAGTTTCAATATACAAAATCAACAAAATCAAGCAGTTCAAAATCAATCAAGTACAAAAATCAGTAGCAGTTCTATACACAATGTCCAAGCCGAGAGCTAAGTCAAGAATGCAATCTGGCCAGAGGCAGTGGCTCAAAGTTCTAATCCCAGCATTTTGGGAGGCCAGTGAAGGCAGATCGCTTGAGTCCAGTAGTTTAAGACCAGCCTGGGCAACATGGCAAAACCCTGGCTTTACAAAAATATTTAAAAAACAGCCAAGCACGGTAATGCAGGCCTATAGTCCCACCTTCGTGGGAGGCTGAGGTGGGCGAATCACTTGAACATGGAAGGCAGAGGTTGCAGTGAGCTGAGATTGCACCACTGCTGCACTCTAGCCTAGGCAACAGAGAGAGACACCAGCTCAGAATAAAAAAAAAATACAATGTTTTTCACAATAGCCACAAAATATCCAGGGATATAGCTAACCAGGGAAGTGAAAGAGCTCTGATAAGAATTAACAAACACAGCTGAAAGAAATTAGAGATGACACAAACAAATGGAAAAAAATCCCAGCTCGTGGATAGGAAGATTCAATATTGTTAAAATGACAATACCCAAAGCAATTTACAGATTTAATGCTATTTCTGCCAAACCATCAACACTATTTTAAAAGAATTAGAAAAAAAAAAAACTATTCTAAAATTTATATGGAACAACAAAAAAAAGGGCCTGAATACCCAAGGAACCCCAAGAGGGGGAGAAAAATGAACCCAGAGGCATCACACTACCCAACTTCAATCTATACTACAAGGCTACTGTAACCAGCACAGCATGGTGTTGGTATAGAAACAGACATATAGACTAATGGAATAGGTTGCAGAATCCAGAAATAAAGCTGTACATCTACAACCATCTGATCTTCAACAAAGTTGAAAATACCAAACAGTGGGGAAAGGACTCCCTATTCAAAAAATGGTGCTGGGATAACTGGTTAGCCATATTCAGAAGAGTGAAACTTGACTCCTTTCCTACAAAAATCAATTCAAGATAGATTAAAGACTTAAATATAAGACCCAAAACTATACAAAGCCCAGAAGAAATCCTAAGACATAGCATTCTGGACATAGGCCTTGGCAAAATTTAATGATGAACCCTCCAAAAGTAATTGTAACAAAAATTAAAATAGACAAGTGAGACTTAATTAAACTAAAGAGCTTATGCCCAGCAAAAGAAACTTTCAACAGAGTAAACAGACAACCTACAGAAAGTGAAAAAATGTTTGCAAACTATTTTTGAGCTTTGGGGGGCATAGGTGGGAGAACTGTAAATGGGAATTTAGGTTGATTTCATGTCTCTGGGAGTATGAATAGTGCTACAATGGCTGCATGAAATCAACCTAAATTCCCATTTACATTCGCCCACCTCAGCCTCCCAAGAAGCTGGGACTATAGGCCGGCATTACCATGCTTGGCTATTTTTAAAATATTTTTGTAAAGCCAGGGTTTTGCCATGTCGCCTAGGCTGGTCTTGAACTACTGGACTCAAAAATAGTTTGACAAAGGTCTAATATCCAGAATCTGTAATAAACTTAAGTCAGAAAATATCAGATGTTGGCAAAGTTACGGAGAAAAGAGAATACTTCTGCAATGCTGGTGGGAATGTAAATTAGTTCAGCCACTGTGGGAAGCAGCCTGGCGATTTCTCAAATAACTTAAAACAGAGCTACCGTTTAACCCAGGAATCCCAGTACTTGATATGTACCCAAAGGAATATAAATTGTTTTACCAAAAAGACACATGCACATATGTGTTCATTGCAGCACTATTCATACTCACAGAGACGTGGAATCAACTGAAATTCCCATTTACAGTGGACTGAATAAAGAAAATTTGGCACATATACACCAAGAAATACTACACATTCATAAAACAGAATGAAATAATGTCCTCTACAGCAATGTGAATGCATCTGGAAGCCATTATCTTCAGCAAATTAACACAGGAACAGAAGATCAAATACTACACATTCTCACTCATAAGTGGGAGCCAAACATTTAGTACATATCGACATAAAAGGAGGAATAATACTCAGTGGGTTCTCTTTAGGGCAGATGGTAGAAGGAGGTCAAGGGTCAAAAAATTACCTAGCAAATATTATGCTCCATAAATGGGTGGCAAAATCATTTGTCCACCAAACCCCAGTGACACACAGTTTACCCAGATAACAAAACTTCACATGTATACCTTGAACCTAAAATAAAAGTTGAAAAAGAAATATTAATTTATTGTATCCATATGCCAAATGATGGGATTCAAAAGTATTCCAGGAGGTGCATAAGAAAACTGATCAATCTGAAATAAATAGTACACATACTAATGTAGTATTACATATTCCTTCAAAGCATTATTTAAATTTGCATGTGGTTATTGGCTCATTTATTCTTGTACATCTGGTCTTGGAAAGCTGCAGGTGGAATGTCACCCGTAGTTCCCCCAGAGCAAACACCTGCACTTTTGCAAGTCCGAAGGCTCTGTTTGAGTTGCCTCCAGGGCCCTGGTGTCCCACAGATAAGCAAGTGGTAACAAGAACATCAGAGTTAGCCCATGGCAGGGATTCTACTGATGATGAAAAATTCTTATTAAAATTAAGTTTTTAAATTCTATGATGAACGAAGTCAAAAAAGTAAAAACAATATTATAGTTGGTTTTCATGAAACACCACTGAGCTTCAGTGTCTCCTGCATTCTTTCCCTCCTGTGGCATCTACACATCTGTCTACTCCCAACCCCACTCCAACTATAATATTTAAAATGATTTTAATGTAAAATTTGCATAAGCTGTAATGCTGTACAATTTTGACAGATGGATGTACTATATAACCCACATCCCTAACATGCTAAAGAATCTTTCCCTCTTTCTCTTTCTTCTTTCTTTTTCTTTCCTTTCTTTCTCTCTTCCTTTTTCTTTCTTTGTTCTTTTCTTTTTTTCTCTCTTTCTTTCTTTCCTTCTTTCTTTCTCTTTCTTCTCTTTCTCTCTTTCTTTCTTTCTTTCTTTCTTTCTTTCTTTCTTTTTCTTTCTTTCTTTCTCTTTCTTTCTTTCTTTCTTTCTTTCTTTTTCTTTCTTTCTTTCTCTTTCCTTCTTTCTTTCTTCTTTCCTTTCTCTTTCTTTCCCTTCTTTCCTTCCTTCCTTCCTTCCTTCCTTCCTTCCTTCCTTCCTTCCTTCCTTCCTTCCTTCCTTCCTTTTTTGAGTAGGTGTTGCACTCTGTTACTCAGACTAGAGTACGGTAGCAAAATCACAGCTCACTGCAGCCTTGACATTTCAGACTCAAGTAATCCTCCTGCCTCAGCCTCCCAAGCAGCTGGGGCCACAAGTACATGCCGCCACACCTCGCTGATTTTTATTTTATTTTATTTTATTTTATTTGTTGTAGAGATGGATCTTACTATGTTGGAAACCTTCTGTCACTCAAAAAAGTTATTTTTTCATTTCTTCTGAGAAAACAACTCTTCACCTGTAGGTGGCTATTTAAAAAAAAATCTTAGCTTTGTTTGCTCTAAAATTTTATGTGAAAAACTTAATGCATATTATATTTAATCAGGCTTCTTTTGCTCACCATGTTTGTGAGATACATTCGTGTAATTGCAATATCTGTAGTTTTTTCGTTTTATTGCTGGTAATATTTCATTATATGGACAACTATACTACAAATTGTGCATCCATTCACCTGTTGATGGACAATTTACTTGTTCCCAGTTTGCTGCAATTGTGAATAACTTTCTACGAATATTGATTAAACTTTATAATCTTACTACATTGTACCAGTTCCTCTCAATTCTCCACAGAGGTTCAGGAAAAGGGACAGCAGACTCTACATTTTCCATCCTACATCCTTTCTATCTGTGTGTATGTATGTGTGTGGCTGTATTTTTCAGGCTACATTGTGACAGTCCACATCTCTTTCAGGAGCCAATCTTGAAAGCCATTGCCAAGAAATGCAGTCGAAGCCCAGATCAGGTCACCCGGCTCAGCGGCGTTGTTGGTTCCGGCCAAGAGCTTCTCTGAGAAGAGAATGCAAGATGACCTTCAGGTATGGGTCCAGTAGTGTTTCTTCAGAGTGAGCCGTGGGTGCTGTCCTGGTGATCTCTCTTGCATGGGAGCATACACTGTATTCCATTCATTCTCACGCTTCTCTCCCCTGTGCGCTAGGGATGGGGGCAGCTTGGAAGGGTGAGAAGAGAGAGCACTGGACTCAGAGTCCTAAGGTTTGTCACCTCTGTGCTTTGCTTTGCCACTTACTAGGTATGTGACACTAAGCAAATTTCAACTCTGTTATTTTAATCGGTTTTAGGAGTTCTTCTACATGGTAATAAATTTAAGGGCCCTGGGTTCTCCCATTTACCTTCTCTGCCCAACAAACTCCTATTTGTATTTTAAGATCAAACCCAAATAAGATAAGCTGCTTTGTTTAACCACTCAAACCACCCACCATATTTTTTCACCATTATAATACATGGAACAGCTCTGCTTAGTGAGATTTTTTTTCTTATTAATTGCCCACTGTTTGCTAATATGTCAGTGTGCTCTCTGGATGGTGAGACCCTAAATGCAGTGACTCTTTTATTACCTTTCTCTTAGCAGAGAGGAAACCAGGTATAAGTTCATAGCCTTACCAAATTAACATATACAATGAGTAAAGTTATTTCCTAAACCTCTCCCCATATACACTCTGGGCCTTATATTAATCACAGGTCTCCAACTAATTTTGTTTTGAATCCCACAAGAATTTTGAAAAACCATGTAAGCTATTTTTCATTTTGAGATGACAGCTACAAATTTTATCGTGAGTTTCATATTTACAAAATACGACATTTGAGACATATTATTTGTAATGTATTTACTTCAAAACATTTTAGTTATAGATCAAGTATATTCATTTGTGGAAAAATTCAATTGGCAAATCTAAATCTCATTGTTAAACCACACAGATTACATTTTATTTTTCAATTAAACACCTGTTAATACCTGCTCCCATGACAACCAAATAACTTCTGAAGTACATTATTTAAAGGAATAATGGATAAACTGGTGGGTGGATATATAGAAAATAGACATATATAGAGAGAACAAGATGATGATGATAGTAGATGGAAGGATGAATGATAGATAGATACATAGATAGATAATAGGCAGATTATCTTAGCCTTTCATGAAATTGTCTTCTGGACCACATAATGAACTTAGTACTTTTTACCAAAGGTATCTCTGTTTTGCTATTAAAGGACTTCCCATTAGAGGCTGCTCCCATGACAACCATATCACTTCTGAAACACATTTTAAAAAAGAATAATGGATAAATTGGTGGGTAGATAGATAGAAAATGAACAGATATGTATAGAGAGAAATACAGAAATAGATGATGATAATGGACGGATAGATAGATAGATGATACATAGGCAGATGATATGAGTCTTTCATGATTGTCTCCTGGATCACATAATAAACTTAGCTTTTTTTTTTTTTTTTTAACCAAATGTCTCTCTGTTTTGCTATGAAAGGACTTCCTATCAGGGGCTATGTGTTGACAAGTGAAAACCAACTTAGACTTAAGTAAGAGAAATTTATTCAAAGGGTAGAACTCTGAGCATAACATCTATGTATCTCAAAGATCGATCAGAAAACATTCTTTATAAAGGACAAGCAAACAGAGCTGCAAACGGACAGTATTTAGGGGTCCTGAGGTGAGCAAGTAGAAGAGTTGATCAGGAAATGCTTTTTATGGGGCAGATTACTGAGTGGGATTTTCCTGTTGTCCAAGGCTTGTTCAGTGTAAGCCTACGACTGGATCGAGTTCCAGGGGCAGTGGGGAAACAAGAGCCTGACCAAGTGTGGTCAAGTCCAGGTGGTAGGTATTGTGTCCACACTTCCTTTTCTATTTTAAAACAAGTGATTTCTTTTTTCTGTCTCAAGCAATTCTCTAGAAATATTTTAGATTGATGAGTGTACACTTTCCTTTTGAGAACTGGTGTGGAGTAGAAGAGGGGTGGGATGGAGAAGAGGCAGCGCTCAGGTGGAAGAGGTTCCAGGCCAGGCGCACCTGGAAACATGAGGATGGAAATGTCTCCCTAATGCCATGCTTGCCTGTCTCCTGCAAAGTCCTTGGATTCCCAGGTGGAAGCTGCTGTCCTGGGGAAAGGTTAATGTGAGTATTGCCTGCCTTTCAGGTTTTTGACTTTGAGCTGACTCCAGAGGACGTAAAAGCCATTGATGGCCTCAACAGAAATCTCCAACATGCTAAGTTACAATTGTGATACTTGCAGATTCTTCACAGACTGTTTTCTGTAGCACACACAGAAACAGAGGAACATCTTCCCTACATCAGGAAGACAGTCCTGAATTCAGGCATGGGATGAAACAGGAAATTCGCTGTAGCCCTCAGAACATAAGTTTCCTCCAGGGCTCTATTTCTGACGCAACAGAAAGTCCATCTGTAAGTAACACTGCCTATGTCTGCTCTATTGTGAATCCACTTTTTTTTTAATGCCCGCACTACCAGTGCCTGGGTCCTATACTTTGGGCCCATTTACCCATTAGACTAGAAGGCACAAGCCTGTCTTAATTTATGTGAAAAAAGAAGAAAAATTAACACAATAATAACAAATATGTAATAATGACTCAAACCTGGTCTATCTTCATGTCCCCGCCCCAGCAGAAGTCTCCATGTGGTTCCTGCCTAGTGGAGACGTGGGAGCAGGACCATAGCCCTCCAGACCCCAGAATCACAGAGTCTTCAGCAGCTTGAAACTTCTGCCTGGAAAAGCCACAGGCAATGAATTCCAATTTGTGAAAGCAGCCACATGGGCTGTGCTCAGCAAAGCCAGGGGAATAGGGCTTCCCAGATGCTTGAGAGCTGACCCCTTGCACCAGGTGCCCAGGATGCAGGACATAAAGTCAATGGAAATTATCTTGGAGCTTTAAGGTTTGATGTCTGCCTTGCTGGAATTCTGATTTCCATGAGTCCTGTTTCTCTGTCCCTACTCCTGCCTTTTTTTGATTACCTTCCTTTTTGAAAAAGGAATGTTTACCCACAGCTGATAGAACAGTTGTACTTTGAAAGTAAATAACTTGTTTTTGACTTCATAGGCTCATAACTGGCAGGAAGTTGCCTTGAGTCTGATAGGAATTTTTGTACTTTGGAATTTTAAGTTGGTGCTGGACCAAGTTACAACTTTTGGGAAATACTGGGATGAAATAATTACATTTTGCATGTGAGAAGAACATGAATTTATGGATTGGGGGCTGAATGCCATAGCTGGCATATGTGACCCTCCCAACCATATGCTGAATTCTCAATGTAGGAGGCGAGGCCTAGTGAAGTCATTATGGTCATGGGGGCAGATTTCTCATGAATGACTTGGTGCTCTCCCTATAGTAACAAGTGAATTCTGGCTTTATTACTTTTTTGATTGCTGCTTGTTAAGAAGAGCCTAGCACCTTACTTTGCTCTCTTACTCTGTGACCTCAGCACATGCTGGCTTTCCTTTCCCTTCTGCCACGAGTGGAAGCAGCCTGAAGCCCTCACCAAAGGCCTAATAGACGCCAGTGCCATGCCTCCCGAACAGCCAGCAGACCGTGAGCCAATAAACCTCTTTATAAACACTCAGCTTCAGGTATTCCTTTATAGCAACACAAATGGACTAAGACAGTCGAATTTCTCCCCACATCTAGAACCAGCATGTCCTGAGTGAATGATCTTAATACCTGATAATCACAGACATACCATTTGTGACAAAGCTTTCCAAATTGGAGACAACCTGTAGGGTATCAATCCCACCCCAGGTCCTGGCTTGCTTCAGGGGTCCTTAATTGGGGTGGATATGTTTCTTCTCATATCTTCATGAGCCAGTATTTTCTATAGTTGAAGACCAGCCTGGAGCCGTATGTATAAATAAGTCTTGCTATCCGAGGGCAGCTCAAGTCAGCTCCCTCATTGTTTGCTCCACAGCAAGGTAAGGAAGAGCATGCATGGAATACTGGAGATCCATCAGGACGTCACCTAGTAATACCATGCCCTGTGATTAAGATCAGTGGGAAACTACGCCAGCCCAACCCAGGCAGGACTACAAGTGACCCAGGGTTTTCAAGAATAAAGGTTTGGGTCACTCCACCAGGAAAAAAAAAAAAAAGTCCTGCTGAGGTGCTTGCATATCAGGTATACAAGGACATATCTGATATGCAAGAACATAACGATGGGTAGAAGAAGGTAGTCATCAATACCAGCTATGACCATGTGACCAGCTGCAGAAACCAGGACCGTGTCATGAGTATTTCCTCCTTCTTTTGTTAAAAACGTATTTGTGCATGTATACACTTGTACTAAGAAAATATCTTCATTTTATTTCCTTTCTCCTTTATCATGTGACGTAAAAGTTATTGACTTCACATCAGCATTTTTGTTAACTTTATATAACTTTATGGTATTTGGGGTGGGAATTGGTGCCTTTCCCATTGTAGGAAGGACCATTGTATTATGTTAGGTGTAATTATGACCTTATTATTGTATTTATTTGAATATCATGTATGATCTCAGGTGATGTGTAGGGGTTTAAGTTGACAAAGGGTGGACTTGTGATGGTTAATTCTGAATGTCAACTTGATTGGATTGAAGGATACAAAGTATGGATCCTTGGTGTGTCTCTGAGGGTGTGGCGAAAATAAATTAACACTTGAGTCAGTGGCTGGGAAAGGCAGAGCCACCATTAATCTGGGTGGACCAATCTAATCAGCTGTCAGCATGGCTAGAGTATAAACAGGCAGAAAAACGTGAAAGGAGAGACTGGCCTAGACTTGCCGTCCGTATGTTTCTCTTGTGCTGGATGCTTCCTGCCCTGGAATGTCGTACTCCAGGTTCTTCAATTTTGGAACTTGGACTGGCTCTCCTTGCTTCTCAGCCTGCAGATGGGCTATTGTAGGACCTTGTGATCATGTGGATTCACGCTCAGTAAACTCATATATATATATATATATATATATATATATATATATATATGAGTCCATGCTGTGTGTTTTTCCTAAAAGAATATGCGTCATACACACACACACACACACACACACACACACACACACACACACACACATATATGAGTCCCTGCTGTGTGTATTTTTCCTGAAAGAGCTAGACAGGCACTAACTGATCAACATCTGTCACTTGCTCCTTCTCTAGAGGCTGAAAACTCTGCTGCAGTCACACTACAGTCCCTACAGTAATGTCTATAAACAGTTATCATTCCCACACTCCTACTAACTTATAGGCAAATTAGTTTTTGGCCCTATTGAGCCAGAAGAAACACACACACACACACACACACACACACAGACACACACGCACACACATACACACACACACACTTAACAGAGAACAGAGAACAGAGTAGGTAAAGAATCTTTGTGAAAACATTCAATTATTTCAAAATGATGAATATTTATTGTCTTAGCTGTGGACTTAGCTCTGGTTGACGGAAGCTGCTAAGCAGGATGGTTTTAAGTAGAGGGGTGTGTCTAGTCACTGGTATAGAGACGTCCTCTGCGTCAGCATCCACACACAGGGTTTCTGGTAGACATCAGGCAAAGCCCTCCATGTTAATATTCATCAGCAAATGGATAATTAGGGTGGCTAGCAAGACTGGAAAGAGAAAGAATAATGTAAAATATGAATGCAAGGACTCCATTCCTAACAGAGTAGTAAAATGATTTCTAGGAAGCTGCCGTTGGTGGGAATATTAAGAAGTTTGTTTTCTGATTGATATAGAATCTGACTTCCTCACCATTATGAACATGGCTTTATAATATCTGTTTTTTCAAAATAATAAATTATTCAAACATATTCCCTTACCTGGAAGTTAACACATAAAACACATAAGTCAAATATTCAAACATATTCCTGTACATCTGCCAGCAGAGCAAAGTGATATTCTGACCTTTTCTGTTTCCAATCTTCTGCCTTACTCTGAAGAGGAGTAAGCAAGATGTATGCTCATCACTAATAAACAATTTTGAGTGTCAATCAATTTTATTAGCTATTTTAATTTCTTTTGTTACTTTACTTATTACCTACTGCTGCCTACTGTATGTAATATATTTTGTAAGATTCAGAAATGTAAATTGTAATTGATATAGGATCTAATATCCAATGAACTACAATGCATTAAAATATTCTTATGTAGAAATAACATAAAATATAAAGGGACAGGTAAATGCTGGCTTATTATTACATTTTGTTTTTTTTTTTGAGACAGAGTATTGCTCTGTCGTGCAGGCTGAAGTGCAGAGGCACAGTCTTGGCTCACTGCAATCTCTGCCTCCCGGGTTCAAGTGATTCTTCTGCTTCAGCCTCCTGAGTAGCTGAGACTATAGGCACATGCCACCACACCCGTCTAATTTTTGTATTTTTAATAGAGATGGGGTTTCACCATATTGGCCAGGCTAGTCTTGAACTCCTGACCTCGTGACCCACTCGCCTCAGCCTCCCAAAGTGCTGGGATTACAGGTTTGAGACATTGCGCCTGGCCAAAATTTTTAATTGATGATAAGAATTACTGATGCATGCTATTCTTCCTTTCTTTTTTTGGCTTCCTTTTTTTATTCTTTATTTTCCTCTAACTTAGTTAACAGTGATATCCACCAATTTTTAAGCACTTATGAAGGGCCACCGTGCTTACACTTTTTCACACACCATCTCATCCTATCACTTGTTAAAATCTCCACTGCCAGCAGTCACATAACTTCCTGCTTTTCCCTCATTATATGAGTGACCGTTTATGACTCCTAGAACCTTAGACCATGAAGAAATAATAAAGATCTTTTATTGGCTACAAATTATATACAACAATGGGCTTCTGCCTCCACACTCTTTCTTTCCTTTTTTATTTTTTAATTCTCTGCATTGAGATCTCCACATGGCAGGAAATCAAGGACAAGTGCTTCTATTCACTGCACTAAGGCAGCCTTTCTAGAGGCAAATGCAGAGTTTGGGGCATGAACAAACATGCAAGGAGAAGGAGAAAAAGCATTTGAAATGCTAAAAGATGCTGGATTGATAGGATCTAGCAAGTGATTCTCTGTGAAGGAGGTAGGAATTGGCACCTGGACCAAAGAGTTGATGGAAATGTTTTTGATTTGATAAGGAGCTGAGCAGGTCTGAGCAAGATACAGGCACAGATCTGGAAACATCTGGTGAGACCACATGGGGAGTATCCACAGCATGTCCAGTGCTAGAAATGCCAGGCCTACATGGAAGGTGCAGACTTGGCAGTGCTGTTGGCTGCTCTGAAAAGTTCCATGGAGTCAGGAGAGCAGGGGCACAGCTGACCCTGGCCCACTCATCCTGCCAGAGAACAGAGCTCTGGAGTGAATCCAGCAGAGAGTTCCAGAAAGCTCCTCTCTCCCCTCTGACTCACACTGGCCTCTGTCCCCCTGGTATGGTGGTCACTCTCAACACCCATTCTACATTCCTTCTCTGAAAATAAATTATGTTACCCATTTACAAAGAAAACTTACCCAACAGAGTTAAAATATCGGAGATTTCTGTCTAGGCTATCTATGGCTTTCATGTCCTCTGGAGTCAACTGGAATTCAAAAACCTATCACAAAAATAAAAGACTTTTCTTATTTTCAGATTGCATAATTGCCAATCCTGAATCCCCAAGTATAAGCAGAGATAAGACTTAAAATATTAATAAGTTTTCAACAGTTCTAGAAGTCATCTCTAAACACTCAGGTGGTCAATGATTATCACATGACAAGTAAGCAAAAATCCATTCCTAGGTATTATATATTGAAACTGCACAACACTGCAGACAAAGTGAAAATCTCAACAGAAAAATGAAGGAGAAAAAGACACAGTGCACATGTGGTAGGATCACATACTTAGAAGACCCGCAAGAATCTAGATGCAAATTTTAAAATAATATAAAATCATATAGTAAGTTTGATAGATATTGTTGAATTTCTGTATAATGCAAATAACATTTGTTTTCAACATAATTCATGGTGGGAATTGTCTTAATACTAACGTTTCATGTTTAAAGGAAACAGATACAGTCTTGAAAAGTATCTCACTCTAAATTTGAGAGACTTTAAATATCAAAGAGATGCCACTAATTTTAACATGTTGAATTAAATAAATCTATAAATTGAATAAATCACTCTTCAATAGTGATACAGAGAATGAGAGAGAGAGGGAAAGAGCGAATAAAAAACATCAACAAGTTAACAATTAATGAATCTAGGTAAAAGGTGTTCATTGCATTTTTTAAACATTTCTATATATTAGAAAATCCACAAAACAAAAAAGGTTATCAAGAGATTCTAAGAATTTTCAGTATTCTATGGATAAATATTTAAAAATGCATACGGTTTAAAGGAGAATGTTATACAATTAATGAAATATATATTAAAAGGTCATTTAAATAGTTGGAAATTCATTACGGGTTGGAAATGTCAATATTGTCAAAAAGTCAGTTATCTTCACATTTAGCAGCAGGTTTATTATAATATCAACCAAAAACTAAGATATGTACTTTTTACTGGATGTTGATGATTCAAAATTTCATATGACAGTCAAGAATAATCAAAATATTACCAAATAAAATGAAGAGTTGGAATAATAGATGTACAATTTTGGTAGCAAGACCTTTCATTATTTAGACAGAAAAGTAAATAAGTCAATTGAAGACAAAAGAGAGGCAAGAATATAATTTGTGAATGTTTCATTTATGGCAGAGGTAAAAAATCAAGATCTGTGAGCAAATGCAAACTCTTTTCAATAATTGTTAGTGGGATCCTTTGATATAAATGTAGAAATTCCATATGTGTGTTTGGATTTTTATTTCAAATAGTATTGAAAAAGAAATTTATTTGAATTTACAACTAATCTATAAGTAAAGAGAATTACCAATTTTGCAAGATAACATATGAAAAGATTGTCATGTTCCCAATATAAGAAAAGACATGCCACTCATCAACCACAGGAAGAGGCATGAATAATTTAACTACATGAAAAGTAGCAACCTTTGTTCTTGAAACATAACTGCAGAAAAAATCACAACACAGGTACAATTTCAGAGACGTTACTTCAAGAATACATCTGAATATCCAAAGAATATATTATATATATCTTATTAAACTATATGTATCAATCTATCATATATATTAACCTATCACATATATATTCATCCATCATATATATTAATATATTTTATATATATATATATATATATATATATAAAATAGATTAATAAGAAACACTCCCTCCAACACTCACATGTCCCTGTATCCACTTGCTTGGTTATATGAAGTTCCAGCTCCTTCCAATAAGAGCTGGTGTCTATTTACCCATCCCTTGAGTCTGACCTGTCCTGTAACTTGCATTAGTGGATAAGATTTGCCAGAAGCAATGGCATGACAGCTCTGAGCCTAGACACGAAAATGCTTTGCTTGTGTTTACTCACTGCCTTGGGATTATACCATGTGCTGAGGTAAAGTCTGGGCTGGATGGCTGGAAGATGAACTATATGGAGGAAAAGATGGCACCCAGAGAAATGTCCCATTGACATCTTGAAGCAGAGCTGTCTCGTTGTCCTGCAAACAAGTGAGAGAGCCCAGCCAAGAACAGAACTTGACTAAGTTCAGGCTGAGGCCATGCTAATTTTCTAACTAGAGAATCCTGAGTAAATAAGTGGTTTTCATCTTAAACCTCTATGTTGAGGGTGATTTGTTTAACAACTCTATTTAATAGTATAATTATGGTCTCCTATATGTAAAAAAAAGACATGCAACCTAACAAAAATAGTCAAAGGCTTAAACAGGCAGAACACAAACAGAAAACTCCAAGTGAATAAATATATGACATTTTTACTGAGTGTACAAAGAAATAAAAATAAAAATCCTCAATGATTTGTAGACTAAAGAACACCTAATGCAACTCCTCATTTCAGAACCTGAAGAAAAGGCCAGGAGTGGTGGCTCACCCTGAAATACCACTTTGGGAAGCCACAGCAGGTGGATCACCTGAGGTCAGGAGTTTGGAACCAGCCTGGCCAACATGGCGAAAAAACCTTTTTACTAAAAACTACAAAAATTAGCTGAGCGTGGTGGCAGACACCTGTAATCTCAGTTACATGAGAGGCTGAGGCAGGAGAATCATCCAGCCTGGGCAAGAGAGAGAGTCTCCATCTCAAACAAAACCAAAATCAAACAAACAAAAATCATGACATGAAAAAGCCATGTCCCTGGTGCAGGGATGTGGAGCAGATTGTCAACTTAATGCTGAAATAATAAAAACCAATCTCTGTTCCCATCCTAATTCTCTTGACCTGTGCTGCCCCTCCTGTGGTAGAGTAGAAGAAGCCCTTATGATGCACACAAAGCGTTCATATAGGGGAGGGGTGGTGGGGGGTGGGGAGCTGGGGAGAGATAGCAAGGGGAGAGATGCCAGATGTGGGTGATGGGGAGGAAGGCAGCAAATCACACTGCCACGTGTGTACCTATGCAACAATCTTGCATGTTCTTCACATGTACCCCAAAACCTAAAATGCAATAAAATAAATAAATGGGGAAAAAAACATTATTTGGTTAGTTTATTCCTATTTTATAGTTTTCAAAGACAAGGACTACTTTTTTTTTGACTACTCGTTACTCTTTACATGTTAACAAAAATATTGAGAGGAAAATTATAAAAAGCAAACAGTAATTCCATCTTGAAGTATATTTTCAAAATGATGAATAACTGGAGTGAGACTTGCATTTTTCAAAGACCTTCTGGACTAAGGTTTCTTAAAATTTTTAATATCATAGATGCCTTGGAGAAGCTCCTGAAAGCTATAGGCCCTTTCCTTCAGGAAAATAGAGACACCATATAAAAGCTCTCACCTGACATCCTTTTAAGAGACTTGACTAATAAAACTTTTAAAAAATTTATTATTAAAAAAAAAAAAAAGAAATGCCAGGGAAATGGAGCTGGCCCACGGGTGTCCTGAGAGCCTTACAAGAAGCACACCTCTGAAGGACACCGTGCAGGAGCCCTGATGCCCACAGCCCCGCTCCTCACCTGCACGTTCTCTCTGATCCGCTGCTCATTGTAGCTCTTGGCCAGGACCACAACCCCACGCTGCAGCTGGTATCGCAGGGCAATCAGGGCTGGGGTTCGCTTGTGCTTTTTTGCCAAGGCACAAAGAACTGGGTCCTCCAAGAGAACCGGGGAGTTCTGATCCACCCTGGGAAGAAAGGCAGAAATGCTGAAGCCCTGAGGCTGGGGATACAGTTTGTTAGGAGGCTCCCTAAACAGATTATGGCTTCTGCTTTGCACCGGAGCTTCTCAAGGGAGGTCCCCAAGCATCACCATCAGCATCGTCTGAGATGTTGACAGAAATGCAATTCTCGCCTCTCCATGAGCCACTTGAGAGTTAACTGCAGGAAACTGAGCATGCTCTGACAAAAAATTTTCTGAAATTTTGAGGTTTATGTAAAGGTCCCATCATTCTTATTACCATTGTTTGGGGCGTTGAGATCCCAGAGCACTATAGGCAACCAGAACAATATCTTTTGACTTGCAGAAATCCAGCAGTTTGCTCTGGTTTAAGTAAGGATGACATTCTACCTGCAGATGACCAAAATAGAAAAGCATCAGTTTATATGAATTACGTTAATTTAAAAAGATTAAAGTTAAAGAAGCTGAATAGTAATCAGTATAGCATCAAATTTGAGTTGAGGATATTATTGTCAAGTAATAATCTTTTTCATAGGAATAAATTTTATATTTCTATTTCCTAAAACTATAAATAGAAATGACATTTCTGAACAGAAGCTAGTCTATAAACCAGATCCTGGTAAACAAAGACCTTTGATAACTAGAAGGAGATGTAATAATTCCATATCTGGGACACAGTAAGATTCTTAGAGCCTTTGGCATTAAAATGTGCCAGAAAGCAAGAATTGGTCAAGGACTCATGAGGGCAAATCTGAAAGACAAAAGCACTAGTTTCAAAGAAATGTCACTGATGATGTTTGGATAGATTTCAGCATCAAAAAAAAAAAAATCTACCCATAGGGTAGGAATGAGCACTAACAAAAATTAACAAAAGCAACTAAAAATCATAGAGAAAAATGTTCAAGTCCATAGTAATGAGTGAGATAATGAGAGAGCAAGAAAGAACAAAATAATTTGCCTTCACTGTTGGTGGTTATTACAGTAATTTCTTTCTCAGGCCATTGATATTTAGAGGAAAGTATTAAACTTTTACTTTGTCTTTGAGGAATATTTGTTCTTTATTTTAATTTGGTGAAGGATTTTTTTTTCACAGTAAAACGTCATGTAAGAATAGTTAAATAAATGTTTAAAATTGAAAATTATTATCTAAAAAGTCCAAAGAAATAACAAACCCAATAATAAATAACTATAAAATACAAAACTATTACTGATGTATACACAATTGTAAGTGAACATTTGTCATGGATATGACTTCTTCTGTTGAGAATTATCACCCAGCGAATTATTAGTAATTGCTGAATGAAAAACGTATGATTACAAAGAACAGATTAGCTCACAACTAGTTTAACCAAGTGATCAAAGCTAACATCACAAATAGGGGGGCAATCTGTCATTTTATGCTGTCTAGTGTAGTGCAATTTGAGAGACACAGCATGCTAAGGATATATTTTCTTGCCCAAAACGTTTAACTTGATGTATCAAAACACTTAGGTCTAACTTTTCATTTACAGAAACTTTTCAACAACTTCAAAAACAAGTTAACTGATATCAACATACAATAATCTGAAACCAAAATTTCATTCTGTTTTAAAAGGAAGCGCTATAAAAGACATTTCCATTAAACAATGGGAAATTCAAATATAGACTAGATGTTAAATGACATAGGGCATTAGTTTTCCTAGATACAATAATTTTACTGTAACTGGAAGAATATCTTCATTTCTGTGACATACTTTAATTAGTTCTGTAGAGGTGAGGTGAATCATTATCTTTCCAATTTATTTTGAAGAGGTTTTGAAAATACTAAATGCATTTATGCACATTTACCCATATATATGTATATATATGGGTAATATATGTATATGTATATTTAGGGGTGTGTGTGTGTGTGTGTGTGTGTATACACACACTTGAGAGTTAACTGTATACACACACACACACACACACACACACACACCCCTAAATATTTGGCAGTGTGTTAAAGTGTTAACAATTTTGAGTGTAAATGGTAATGTTGAAATTGTGTAGTATTTTTATCAAATTTTCTGAAAGTTTGGAAATTTTCATAATAAAAAATTGGAGTACTAATATTAAAACTGTATTTTCTTAATGTTTCTATTTGAATATGATGGAACTGTATCATTACGCCAAATTCACAAATTTTATACACTTCATGTTTCAGTTGTAGACCTTTACTCTTTGATTCTAAGTTGTATAAAAGTAAGATCAAAACAGTGTAAATTAGTAAAAAGGTACAGTGACTTCAGCATTGAATTTTGTATAACATTTGGGAGAAGTCAATTTGATCAAGGAGACCTGGAATCATTAATAATAACTCAGGAAAAAAAAAATTAGTCTGCAGATAATTTTTAGTATATCTATGCCTCTAGCCAAGAATTGTTGAATATCAAGAAGAGGCACTCAAATATCCATATTCCATATAAACCCCTACCTCTTTTCTCTTATTCTCTCTGTTTACGTACAGCTCATTCCATCTTTATGGGTTCATATGTATACATGATTCCCTTCAAATCACCTTCACTCATGCACTCTCTGATCATCTTTCATAGCTTTCACCTTTCCCTGAGTTCTAATTGATTATTTCAGGCCTCCTTGATCAAATGGACTGCCCTTAAATATTACACGATTCAATATTAAAGTCACCCAAATTTTCCCCAATACTTTTCCAGGCAGGGTCCAAATAAGAAATCTCCATGCCTTTCTTGACCGAAGCTTTGCTCTCTAGAATCTTCTGTTTCACAAAGATAGGTGGGATAAAACAGATATTTGGTAATAGGACAGGAAGAGGGGCATGAAGAACAGAAAGGAGAGGAGGCTGAGGGCGCTCACCTGGTTGCAGACGGGCTTGTACTTGAGCCCGGGCTTGTTGAGGATCATCTCCAGCTGCCTGCGGTTGAAGTTGGACACCCCGATGGACTTGGCCAATCCTGCCTCCTTACACTTCTCCATGGCCTGGGGAGAAAGAGGTCATGAGGAATTATTTGTGCAATTTGCTACAAATCAAGATAAATGCAAGACAGAACGGTGAAAGCAACAGCTTTCAAAATATGACAATGAAAATAGCCAGCAGTGATTGTCAAGAAGGGAAAAATTCAAACAGCAAACAGGGGAAGAAGATAGTGGCAGCAAGAGTAAGAGTTCTCATCTCTTCCTTAGGAAACTGGACAGATTAATGCACAGGCAAGGAAAGAGATTCCTGTCCTCCTTCCCAACTCTTGTGTGCCCCACCACTCTCTAAACATTCCTCTCATGTGTTTTTCCCTTCATCTCATCAAAACTACTCTTGTAAAGTTCCTGAATTTTTAGATCTAATGGCGCATATTCCATTCTTCCCTATTTAATCTGGGAGACAGGCTTTCCCCTGTTTGTCATCCTTCTCTGTGTCCTTTCTGCCACGCACTCACCTCCCAGGTGGTACAAAGATCCACTATGTCAAATATTACTTTTGCATTTTCATCTGTTGGTGAAAGTTCCTCACCTGGCTGAAATAGAAGCAGTCATTTTAATAATGTTACAAATTAATTTCTCCACCCATAGTCGTGATCCCAGATACCTTTAAGGACACTTATCCTCCGTGAGGCAGGTGGCGCAATGCTTTCTAGTGATGTATGCTAAGTGTTTTACATATGAAGGTGTAAGGAGTGTATTCAGGAGACAGGCTTCCTCTAATCTCTTACAAATAGTAAATGTATGGAAAACTACCATTTCCTAGGTCTTAATTGAGTTTCATAGTGGACTTATGTTACTTTATTCTGCCCTTATAATTTCTTCTGTTGAAGTACCTCTCTTTGATTTGGAAATATCTTGATATTTAAAAATAATGGATTGTACTCTTGGACCGGATGAGATTATCAGACCACCTGAAGACCTGATAGTCTGCAGGCAGGACTGTAAATCACACATGGTCAGTGGAAGTTGGGAGACCCACAGGAGCTGTCTTATGGTGATGACCATGAGCCTTGAGCTTCTGCAAAGCCATGATAGCCACCAACGAAAAAGTTTGGGTCAACAATAATAAAAAAAAGTGTTGGAGTTTAGAGATAAGAATAGAGAAATCATATATTTTTGTAGACCATTTCATATCCTTACATGTAGCCATGTCTTTGACTTCCCATTTACATAACCCAGTGAACTCTTCTGCATTAACTAGGCTGAGGAGTTTTCTGTAACTTCAAATCAAATGTTACACACTATACAGTAATTCATGGCTAAATACAGCTTCAAACTTTATTGCGAAAGAAGAGGCAGCAGAATAATGAAGTTTTTCAAGTCCACATTAAAGATTTCTAGTTTAAGAACCATGCTCCCAGCACTTTGGGGGCTCGAGGCAGGCGATTCACGAGGTCAGGAGTTTGAGATCAGCCTGGCCAACATGGTGAAAACCATCTCCACTAAAAATACAAAAAATTAGCTGGGCATGGTCATGGGCACCTGTAATCCCAGCTACTCAGGAGGCTGAGGCAGAAGAATTGTTTGAACCCGGGAGGTGCAGATTGCAGTGAGCTGAGATCTCACCACTGCACTCCAGCCTGGTGAAAGTGTGAGACTCCATCTCAAGAAAAGAAAGTATACACACT